TAAATAAAAAATAAAATAAATTAATAAAAATATAATTGATAAAAAAGTAATTCATATATCCTTACGTTCATGAGTTTATTTGAGCTGAGTTTGATTCGATTTGCACATGGCTCTCAATTATTAGCCGGGTCTAAAAATTTGGCTTGATTTCAATTATTTAGCAAACGAACTTCAATGAATTGAGTTGAAATTGTTCATGAACACTCAATTTATTACAACCCTACATTTAATCTGGAACCAAATACAATTATTTTACATGATGGTGAGACAAAACAATAAAAAAAAATCAGGTGGGATAGCTAGCTCCCTTCTTTTTTGTGTGGTTTAGATTGAGTTCTAAAATCATGATGATTTTAAAGCAATTAATACGTTTCTTTTTTATTTTTTATTTTTTTTTAATTTTTTAATCTGCCTAAACAAATACACCCAAAAATATACAATTGGAAATAAAAATAAAAAACATTTTGTGCAACGATCAATTCACCTTAATTATCAATTTATAACCGATTCACAATGCGTTTCACAGCCCATAAGGTTGAACCAAGAGAGAAAATTCAAGTGGAATGAGAACATCGTTCACAGTAAAAGCTTGTTTTCTCATCTTCTTCATTTATTGGTTTATTTAGATTATATCACCTCTCTATTTTTTTTACATATTTTTTCATAAAAAATAAAAAAAAAAACTAAAAAAAAAAAAAAAAAGGGGACACAATGCGTTTCACAGCCCATAAGGTTGAACCAAGAGAGAAAATTCAAGTGGAATGAGAACATCGTTCACAGTAAAAGCTTGTTTTCTCATCTTCTTCATTTATTGGTTTATTTAGATTATTATCACCTCTCTATTTTTTTACATATTTTTTCATAAAAAATAAAAAAAAAAAAACTAAAAAAGTTAATTTTTTTTTTTTTACTTTCTAAGATAGGTCTAAATGTACCTCTCAGAATTACTTAGGCTATGTTTGGTATAAACTTTTTAAGCTAAATAGTCACAAAAAAACAAAATAGGTTAAAAAGTCAATAAAACAAAATGTCATATCTAAACCATAATCATTTTATTTTTTCTCTTACAAAAATCAAAAAAACTAAAAAGCCCATCCCAAACGGAATTTTTTTCCTCTTACAAAAGTAAAAAAAATTAAAAAACTCATGTCAAACGAAACTTTTTAACCACAAACTAAAATAATTAAAAAAATTAAAGGGAAAAAAAAACTAGCTCAAATTCCAAACGAAAATCATCTGCTGTTGCTGACTCTACACTTGCAAGACATTCTTCTATGTTCACACCACACTTAAAAAATAACTAAATTCTACTAGTTAATTGATGATATTTATGGAAACCAACCTCCTAAGACTTTTTTAGAATTTCTATCTTACAAGGAACTTCATTTTAAGAAAAGTATTTCCAAGGAAAATAACAAGATAAAACTCGAGTTTATTATGATGAAATGAGCTGAAATGAAAAGTCTATTCTAAATTTATATATATATATATTTTTTGTTTGGTACGTTTTATTTAAGTAGGAATAGTTATTCTATTGGAATGACTATTTTAACAAAATGTGAGAATGCATATTCTTTCATTCAACCAAAGGAATGATTATTCCATTCCATCATGGAATTATCATAAAATTTTATTATTATTTTTTGTTAACACTTTAAAAAAATATTATTATTTAATTACTACTAGCATTACATTCTCCCACCACCCATTCCACCACCTTATCGTCGTTGCCGTTGTTGCCCTATTGCCGCCGCCTCCACCACCACCACCATATTGCCACCACAACCACCATCACGATTGCCGCCACAACCACTACACTACCATACTCCCAATATCACTATTACTATCGTCACCACTATCGTTGGCCGCCGCAGCCGTCGCCGCCACCACCACCATCGCAACCATGACATCACCTTACCACCACTAAGGCCATAACAATCTACTACCACCATCTTACTATCATTGATATCACCACCACTGATGTCGTCACCGCCGCCACCACTACTATGAGTCACACCATCATTTTCACAACTTTCAATATTATCATGATCAATATAAAATTTTAATTTATTTTTTACTAACTTGTTAAAAAAACAATAATAATAAAAACGTATTCTATTCTATGAGTTTAATAAATATAACCAAACATTAATATGAGAATTATCATAATATTCCTACGTCATTCCATGTTGGCAACCAAATAATGGAATGTGAATGAACATTACAATCCATTAAACTTTATATTCGATTCTCAATCTAATTCCATTCCCACTTCAGTTCATTCCATCTTATCAAACACGTTCTAAACTCACGAGAATTTTCTTAAAAAGGGTGGAGAATTTGTATCTGCACACTAATTTTTTTTTTTTTTAATGTTTTATTTACTTCATATCATTTTGCTCATTTAGATAATTAACAAAAATTAATAGTTCGAATATTAACAATCGAACAGAGACTGCCTTCAATGGATTATAATTAAATAATTGCGAGGCATATTAAACTATTTATCAAGGAAAAAACGTTTAAAGAGAGAAAATATCAACTATGTACACAAAATAAAGTTGTGTTTGAGAATAACAAATGCAATGTTTTTTTGCAAACAAAGATATGTACATGTATACGTATTTAAATTGGTATAATTTTATCATAAAATTTTATAATATCAATTACAAAATATGTAATCTCCGTTATAAATTGGCATTATAAAAAATATTGTAATCAAGTCATAAATTTTTGTAACATGAATCATAAAATTTTAGACATTTTTTTATATTAATTTATGATAAAATTATACATTTTACGTTGATATTATAAATTTTATAATAAAATTATGTTAATTCATAATAGGGGTATATGATATGCACTCCTACAAACGTGCACACCGTACCCTTTCCCTATGTAATGGCAAGTACATTGAAAAAGCTAGCTTTTAGCTTTTTTTAGTCAAAAAAGTTAATTTTTTTACCCAAGTCACTATCCAAAAAGTTAACTTTTTTGGCTAAAAGAGTCAAAAGCCAGCTTTTGGCCAGCTTTTGGCCAACTTCCCAAAACACCACTACATTTCCAGTAAGCGAATCTACCAGTGTAAATGAAAAGGATAATTATGTTTGGGAAAATAATGCAACAGGTAACTATTCAAAAAAATATCAGGAAAAGCTTATACATGTTAATAATTAAGTTTGTATATTTTTTGATGAATTTGTATTTTTTTATTCCTGACTTCACTTACATATAATAACCCCATATTATGTTTCAGTGAAAAGATTATAAAATAAATATAAAAATATAAACGTGTGGGTGAGTATATTTTGTTGTCAATAAAAACTATAAATTTACTTTTATGAGATCATTTATTTCACTCTTACTTAGTTTTCCTTTGATAATTTAGCTTTTTGGCTAAAATAGTATAAAAAAAAATTAAAAATGTCAAAATAATTGAAAAATCACTATAAAAAAAGAAGAAGTTAAACATTTCAATAATTTATGATTTTCGATATAACTAAAAAGAGTCATTTTCAAATATATTAAAAAAAAATTCAATTTATAAAAAAAAATTAAAAATTAAAACACCATTAAAAAATTAAACTCTCAAAGGAGACTTTAATATTTTTATAATTATTTTGAATTACTAACTCTTAAAAATGATTGAGGGACAGAGAGAGCAGGGACCACAACCAGAAAGTTTGAACTTTAAACAAGTATATAATGGAATAGGAGGCCACCCAACAAAAGGGTCTCTTTCCAATGCAGTCGGGGAAGAAACTGACAAAGTGTGGTTTGATTTTTTTTAAATTGTTTCTAAATGAATTTTTGTTTATTTTTAGTGATTTTTTAAATATAAATTTTAGTTAAATTTTTTTACTTATTAAATGTACTCAATTTTGATGTATTTAAAAATTAAAAAATAATGACTAAAAAATGAAAAAAAATTAATAAAAACAAACAAAAAATCATATAAAAATAATTTCTGAAAACAGTAACCAAACAAATGTTTTTTTTTTTTTTTTGGGGAAATTCATGTAGTGTTGTCCTAAGAGCATCTCCAACGATGAATAAGATTTTTTATCAAATTTGAGTAAAAAATGACTCATTTCATCAAATCTGGTACCAAGTGCTCCAACGGTTCACCTTTCACCAAATCTGTCCAGGGACAACCGGGTGGTCGACCGGTGAGTGAATTTTTTTTTTTTTTAATTGTCTGAACCGTTTTTGTTGAACTTTCTGAACTTTTTCCGGGACGACCGGCCGGTCGACCGGTTGACCGGTTAGGGAAATTTTTTTTTGAACTGTTTGAACTTTTTTTGAACTGTTTGAATCTTTTACTGATTGACCGGTTGGTCAACCGGCCGGTCAATCGGCTGGTCGACCGGTTGGTATCACCCCAACGGTCAGTAACAGTGATTTGGTGAAATGCTTCGCCTGTTCTCAGTTTGATGAAATGTTTGATGAAATCTCATTTTGATATCGATTTGATGCAATCGTTGGAGCATCAAATAGTAACTTTTTCACCAAATTTTAAATTTGATACTGGGTTTGATGAATCGTTGAAGATGGTCTAACATAATATTCATTGGTTAGAGAGTGGAACTTAATATATATATATATATATATATTTTTGTTAAGTTTTTAATAAATATCTTAACAAGTATCAAGTAATAAAATAGTGTAAAATAATCATCCAAAATCACTCAAGAAGCTGAGAGAAGGAAGGAAAGAGGAGAGAGATTGGATAAAAGACTCTCACATTCTGATCCTCAGCAAAGAGGGTCCCACTGGAAATCCCTAGATTAGAAATGTAACCAATCACATTCCAGAAGTTAGGATGACTTTTATAAGCTCAACCAATAAAACAACAGATAAGGCCTCCTTGGTGGGCCCCAAAAGCACAATCCCCCTCTGCCTGACCCAAAAGTGCATCCAGAAAAGAAGAGCCCTTAAATGGGCCTGCAAAAGTGCAGCATGTGGGCCTCCACCACCCCCAACATACAAATAATTGCACATCTCCCCATAAGATGCAATCCCTCAACACTTCCATGAAAAACCCACTTTGTTTATTTTTCTTCCTTCTTCGTTTCATTTCAAAAATTTCAAACCATATCATTTACAATCTTGAATTTTGTTCATGTAAAATCTCTTTGGTTATTTGGCTTTGGTCGATTTGAATCGATCTGAATCGGTCATCTTCCATAGTTCTTTGGCAGTTTTGATTTTCATTCTGTCATTAACAATCTTCAATTTCTTCAATGGTGTCCAACAAAAAGGTAGCCAATGCGGTCGGTGGCAAAACCGCTCGAGCCTGCGACAATTGCATAAAAAGGCGGGCCCGATGGTACTGCACCGCCGACGATGCTTTCTTATGCCAAACTTGTGACGCTTCGGTTCACTCAGCGAACTCATTGGCCAGCAGACACGAAAGAGTTCGTCTCAAAACATCATCGGACAAGTCCTCCGACGAGTCCTCGTTGGAGAACTTTGTGCCCTCATGGCAACGAGGGTTCACCCGAAAGCCCCGAACACCACGACATGGAAAACAATCCATTCATCAACATCGAAAATCCCAAGAACCGACTCAAAACTCACATCCTATGGTGCCCGAGTTGGGGAGCGGAGGAGAGACTTCAAACGAAGAAAACGAAGACGAGCAGCTTCTTTATAGGGTTCCCATATGCGATCCATTCGTTGCAGAGCTCTGTCATTCTGCAAATTCAAACGAAGCAGCAAGAAATATAGCGATTCAATCGAAGTCCACGTTATCTGAACTCGGTCATGGATCTAGTAATTTACACGGGCTTCTTCCTTCTGAATCGGAGCTTGCAGAGTTTGCAGCCGATGTCGAAAGCTTGCTAGGCAAAGGTCTTGATGAAGAGTCATTTGACATGGAAGGACTTGGACTTTTAGATTGTGAAGAGAAGATTTCGATTTCAATGGAGGATTGTTCAAGTGATGGTGGAAGAGTTAAGATTGAAGATGAAGAAACCATGAATTGTGTCCATGTTGTTGATACCGAGACCGACATGGCGAGAGAACCATTTGAATTGAATTTTGATTATGATTCTCATGTGGGATGTGAGGAAGATGAGAACAAGGTTGGAGTTGGTAAAATCGGCGAAGCAAAGAAGAAGATGAAGAAGAAGGTGCTACTGAGGCTTGATTATGAAGGAGTCGTGTCGGCATGGGCTGACCAGAGGTCTCCTTGGACTGCCGGTGATCGGCCGGAGGTCGACCCTAGTGAGTGTTGGCCTTACTGCATGGTATGTTTTCTCTTCCATGTCTAATTTTCCTTTCAAATGTATAAAGCTATATTTAGTTTTCTTTTTAATTTTAAAAAATTAAATCATCAAACTATGATAGTTTAAAATTTGTTGGTTTAGTTTCAAAAATAAGCTTGACAATTGTTCTAATATTTATGGTTAAATTTATTATTGGAATTATAATTTTAAGAGAAAAACTTCTAACTAATCAAGAAAACACTACGATTCATATACTAAATTATATAAAACCATTAGATTTTTTTGTCTTTCAAATGCATGCGTTTCTGATAAAATATTATTAACAGTACATGTACATGTAATAATTGTTTCTGCATAAATAAGCATTTTAAAATTAAAATTGATAAAGTTTTAGTTTCGATCAATTGAAAGATTAAAATGATTAGGATAAAACATCATTGTTAAAGAAATACATCATGATTATTGTTTTTTTTTTTTAAATTATTATTATTTTTTTTTATAAACTTTCTTTAGCTACTTTTGATTGGTCTCTTACTAATCTCGAGTTAAGTGCTAGCATGTGATTGAGCTAATTCTCTGGTGTCAATTTAATTGAGATTAATTGAGTTTAGCTATGATGCTCGGTATACTTTCTTGCTTTATTGATATAAGTTCTCACATGTATTTGTTTTCTTCATCAATAAAGTTTCCCGATTAAGGTACTATATGCACCAAGTCAATTATATACAAATGCTAGGCCATGCGACAGTTTCTTAAGACTGCTTATTTCAAATGTATGTATATGTTTATGTAAATGTATAAATACATCGAAAGGTAGCTAAGCGTAGACTAGTAGCAGAAGGATCTCAACAATCAATGCGCAATTTCCTGTTCTCAAAAAGGGTGTCCCCTATCTAATGCATCTCTCAATTATTTAAATTAAAAATTATACCATGTGATTGAGAGATGCATGAGACAGAATTTGGGTTCCAAACTACAGATATCCGTACTGGAAGCACATGAGAGTTGTCTGTGAATGGAAATGAAAAGGGAAATGAAAATGAAAAATGATAAAACCTCAGCAGCTCCAATTTGGCTTCTTGTTGCATTGTCTTATTGTATCATAGAGGTCCATCCAAATCCAATTATCATTTGGCATATCACATATGTACCGTTTCTATTCGGCATTATTTGGGTAGTCAATAGTATATGGCCAGTTCAATCCTGCAACAAATATACAAAAGGCATTGACACTAGCCTCCTAATATGTCCATTTTCTCTGTTAAAAATAAATAAATAAATAAAAATAAAAAACAAAAAAATCTAGAAGCACATAAATTAAACATAAAATTGGATACAAAAAATATATTGTCACACAGGATTTTCTCAGAATTGAAACCCACCAACTGAAATGTGTATTTCCTGTGTCTGGTTTTATATTTGGTTTTTGTGATTAAAAATGTAATGAAACTGCTAGAGTGCCAATCTTTCAGGGTAGTTGTGGAACAGTTCACCACCCATATGGAGATATAGGAGTGATTGGTGGACACACAGCAATGGGGGATGGAGGAAGAGAAGCGAGAGTGTCAAGGTATAGAGAGAAGCGGCGTAAGAGGTTGTTCTCGAAGAAAATAAGGTACGAGGTTCGGAAGTTGAATGCAGAGAAGAGACCCAGAATGAAAGGTAGGTTCATTAAGAGGGCCAATTTTGCAGGACCTGCTTTTCCTTTGCTTAACAAATGAAATGTAAAACTATCTATCTAGTTTTGCATGTTAATTATGCCTTTATAATGGTCTTGTACATATCTGCTATTAAGGAAAATGTTAAGCTTACAGAAATTTTATACAAAAAAGTCATACAGAATGTTGTGGTGGTGTCATTTTTGCAGTTATATAAATCGTAGTGATCAGTTCTTTGAATGGCTGTAAATAAGCCAAGTCATTCTGCTTGAAATTTTTGTATAGGTTGTATAGTATTATTCATCTAGTAAATAAAATCTAAGCTTAAAAGCTTACCTATTACATGCATGGTTCCCCTCTCTCTCTCTCTCTCTCTCTCTGCCATGTATTGAAATTTTTTTTGAGTGAGATATGTTGACTCACTTTATTAGGTAGTTGGAAAACAAAAGATAACCACCTGTTAGTGTATGTTGCAGTTTTATATTTATCAAAAGTATCATGTAAATAATATCACATGATAAATATCTAATATTTTCTGTGGAAATTGTACACCAAATTTGTTGCTCATTTCATGCTAAGTATTTCAGCAATGTTGACAATGGAAACCTATAACAAACAAATTTTGACATGGAAGGCCATATGGGTACTAAAATCAAATGTACTTAAAATTTAGTTGAATTAGAGGTAATGCTTTACCAACAGGTATAAAAAAAACAAAAACGTTTCAATGAGAAATGATGTTAATTGATTGTCACAAATTCAAGATTGAAACACAACAACCTTAACAAGTGAATCAATTTTAGGTAAAGATGTGTCCCAACAAAAAAAATAAAATGTTTAGGTAAAGAAATCTGAACTCATTGAATTTGGGTTTCTAACTTCAATGACGAATTTGGAGAAATCTTATGAATAGAAGGTCTAGATGAAAAAGAAAATAAATTATTCGTACTCTCATGTTGAAAATAAAGAAAGATATTAGTGGGTAATTATTTGATAGAATAGTACTATTTTCCAAGTCCACATGATTAGATGGATGTTTGAGGTTTTTTCTTATTTTTTTATTTTACGATTAAATTTGAAATCCTAAATTCAACAAATCTAAATTCGAGGTGAATAAAGCTATCTTTTGCTGGGTTAATGGTAAGCAATTGATTGTGATAAATTCACAATTGTTGGATATTACTGGAGATATGAGACTCATTCAATAACCATTGAGGTCATGTTTGTTTGGGTGGACATGAGCTTGGGATTGAACTAATAGTCTAATAAAATTATTAATCCGATGTTTGGTTAAACAATTGAATAATTATTTTACACTTGACTATTAGTTAAGATAGGATACATAATCTAACGGATTTGTAGTCCTAGAACTATTAGTCATGGGAATGCTAATCCAGTCCGCCCAAACAAACATGGCTTGAATGTACTACAAAATATGATGTCAAAAGATGTTAAATGCAGTGTTATTATTCAGCAATGCTGTCTTTTAATCTAAAAACTATTCCAATCAATCAATGTTTGAAAGGCAATGGGGATATTTTTACATTTATTAAAAAAAAAAAAGCCAGTGTGAATTACGAGAAACACCAGAACTAATATAGAGAAAAATCAAATACTAGGATCCTCTTTCTCCTTCCCTATCCTCCACTAGTCCCATGTCTCCTAGTGTTTATGTTTATTTTTGTAATAAATATGGAAATATATAATATTACTTATATGATTGTTTTGTATTATTAGTTGTAAAATTAAATAATTTGTCAATTTTGTAAGATGGAATGTCTATCAGAATTCAATCCGGAGAACAAAATTGTAACCATATGAGTCTCATAAACTAAGAATCTCAATTATATGCAATAATCCACCCAATGAAACAGGTCTTAAGTAGATTATCCCTATTTCCTAGTTAGCTAACAAGGTGGGTCAATTGTTTCGCCTATAAATGTTTTTTGATATGCCATTGATTAAAAGTACTATATAAACAATGCCACATGCATGATATTCAAGACTACTCAATGATTTTCAATTTGAGCATCTCTAGCAATACTAGTCAAAATATCTAACTAAAATCTCACCTTATTATTTTAGCTAAACATTTTTTTAATATACACTCTAACAATATGTTTATTTTTGCTATTTTCTTTTAAAATATTCATTTAATATTTTTATGAGAGAGAAATGGAAGGAGTAAATGACTTAAGAATAAGAAAAAGCAAGTTGCTAATGAATAGCAGCGGAACAGACGTAGCTAGTCACTATTTATAAAATTATTTTAACTAGTTTGCTGAATATAGTTTTTTTTATTATTATTTTGATTAGCTATTCTAACTAAATTAATAATTTTAAGTAGCTTGCTGTGAGTAACCTTGTATATGATCCATATGAGAGCAAGCAGAGGCATCTCCAAGTTGAAGAAGAGACAATTCAAGATCCCTTTTAGTTAAAATATAATCAAGTCAAAAACTTTTATGATCCCTAAACCATACTATTAAATTCCGAATTTGGCCTTTTCGAGACGCGTGGTTACATGCATACGTGGTCCTTCTCATAATCACTCCTTTAGATTTTGTAAGATAAGACAAAAAAGGGATAATGTTTGGTGGTCACAAATTCTGTGGTTCAAATGGTCTGAAAATGTCAAAACGAAATCGTTTCAAAATGACGTCGTTTCAAAATGACGTCGTTTTGATATTTTCGAACTATTTGAGTTACAGAATTTATGGCCACCAATCATTGCCCCACAAAAAACATACAATGACCCATCAATTGATGCAACCCTTTCGAAGGGTATCTTCTTAACCTTTTTTTTTACTTCAACTTCTTTCTAATGGTTAAGATTTACTTTAAGTGAATTTAATGACTCAAATTATTTTATTAAAAAAAATTACATTTTAATTTTTAAATTTTTTTTAATAAAATGATTTGGAGTGATAGATTCTCTTAGAGTAAATCTTAAGCATTGCAAAGAGGGAGGCTAGTAGAGACACAAAGGAGAGAATCCTTGCTCCTTGTTAACATGCACCTCTAAAACACATGTTAAAAAAATAATAAATAATTCCACCTATATTCATTAACATGAAAAATGTTGAATAAAAATATAAATAAATTTAATATTTTTCAAAAAACTAATAAATCTCATATCTTCTTATATGTGGACAAAAACACCGTTGTTTTGGAGACGAAATTGACATAAGATTCTTTAACTTAAGTGTAATGTTAGATAATAATAATAATAATAATAAATTTATCACGTGAAAACTAATTTTTTTAGTTGAATTTTTTAAATTTGTTTTGAGTAATTAGAAATTAATTTGATGGAAGTAAATACAAAAAAAAATGCTTTTAATTTTTAAAAAATTATTTCAAAAAATTATTTCAGTACCAATAAAAGAAGGGAAAATTGTGAGTCAATTGTAAGGCCAAAAAACAAATTGTAAAGTCATGGAAAAATTCATAACTTCAATTATATTAAAGTTGATAAGTTTTACCACTGATTTGAAATTTGTTTTGAAAATATCTACTAGAGTGTAATTTCCCCAAAAAAGAAAATCATATAAAAATAAGGACACTTGGGTAACAAATCTAATTTTCGAAGTTTTGAAACAATAATCCCAAAATCTAATCTTTTTGGACTATAGGGACAATCACTCTGTTAGTTTTCAATGGATACGTCTTTTTTTTTTTTTTTTAATGAATTCTTTTTATACTTTTTTTAGACTTTAAAATTGGTAACTCATCTTGACACCTAAGTGCTATCTCAATGACCAATTAGATAATTGCCTTGGGTCAATCTAGATTCACTTAAAAAATTAAATATTTGTAAAGATTAAAATACGAAAATATTCTGAGTTTTTTGTGTTTTTTAATATTTAGTTTTTTAGACTTTAAAATTGGTAACTCATTTATCTTGACACCTCAGTGCTATCTCAATGACCAATTAGATAATTGCCTTGGGTCAATCTAGATTCACTTAAAAAATTAAATATTTGTAAAGATTAAAATACGAAAATATTCTGAGTTTTTTGTGTTTTTTAATATTTAGTGAATTTTTAAAAGATATGTTTTTGTTTAATTTTTATACTTTCTGAGTGTATTAAATTAAGTGAATCTAAAAGATGAAAAAACAAAAAATAATTATAAAAAAGAGAGATGAAAGGTTAAAATGAAGGGAAAAATATAAGGGTGTTTTGATCTTATTATAGAACAAATTATGTTAACAAGACAGCTTATAATTTTTTGCTACCTTCTAGGAAATAATACAAAGACATAAATTTAGGAGTAAATTAAACCCCTAGTTGTTATTTATTTCTTGTGGATCTCTATAGTTGTTATTAAATTAATTTTGTTCTTTAATTTTTTATATTGTGTTAATTTAATTTAATTGATAATATCAGTTAAAAGAATGGGATAAAAATCATGGACAAATAATCTACTTGAAATTTTGAAAAATAATTTAAAAATTAAATTGAATAACAGTCTCTCGATCATTTTTTAGAAGAATGAATTGACCATTTTACTAATTGATTTCAGTCCAATCTCTAATGTTGTGATGGATCATGAATTTTGATAGGAATTTGAAAAAGAAAGGGAAAATGAAGAAAAATTAATTTATATTTTACTCACATTTGTCTCACATTTTTTTATTTTTCTTTACCTTTTCAAATCTTTACGTAAATCTATGATCCAAGCATTGTCTAAAAATTTGTTATTAATTATAAAATTTACATGTAAAATTAATACAATTAAAACTATACATATTAAATTCACAAAAAGCAAATTACAAAAAATTACGAATCTAATTGTCGTAAATTGTTTTGGAAAAGTGTAGCTGGTGCAATGTCTAAATGAATATAGTGCTGTCAACATTGTATCTTGTGCATTTTTCTATATTTTAATTAATTTATTTATTTATTTTTATTTTTTTGTAACATTATTTATCCTATTAACAACGTCGGTCAAGAGACACATCAAGTGGGAAAATGTCATTGGTGAGGTTATTTTCAAGTTAGAGCTTTGTTGGAAATATCTTTTTCTTTTGGGAATAATTTACTTGGATGATAAAAGATTGTAAGAGATACAAAACTTCGTGATCATTGATTTGATGATAGTAGTGGTATAACACATACTAAAAGAAGATAATATAAGAAGAAGATAATACTAACCACTATTGGCCGATGTTGTTGTCCAAAACAATTGAAAGTTTTGTCATTGAGTGTAAGACTATTCTTAACACAATTCTGAAAACTTTTTTCAACAGTTTAAAATTTTATAGAATTTGAGAGTTTTATTTTAATAATCTGAATTATTTATTTATAGGGATCTCTACGTATATCATTCATAATAAAAAAATT